TACACACATCCAAATCAATCATTTTTCCCAAAACTCTCTTCAAAATAATTCTTTCAAAAACATCTTTTGAAAAAACAAACCAAACAACTTTCGTACTTTTATCTCTAAAACACATCTCTCCAAAACACAAACTCAAACATACCCCTATATTTTGTCTTCATTCACTTATAAATGTTTCTAAATATATCCCTAGGCTTATAATTATAAACACATGCCACACAAAAACCATTTACACACATCACAACAGTAATTTTGACATATCCACGACCAATTCACCCAAACACAATTTCAACAGTTGTTTAGAGCCATATCATCGAAAAATGAATGGAAATAGATTGATGTAAGTTTGATTGAATTTTTTTTATTGGTCACGATTAACAATGATAAGCAAATTTTCATCGCGATCAAAAAAAATCTTAAAACAAAACATATGAAAAGTTTTCATCATTGATTTTTTTTCCCGCAGTTCCTATGGAAGTTGAATTTACAAGTTAATATTAGTTTTCAAAAAACAAAAAAAACAAAAACAAAGACCACTTCCACTTGTAAAAAATCACTTTTTTATTGCATTGGTTAGGGCTGCAAACGAACCGACGACCGAGCTTTGCTGAGCTCGAAGCTGGCTCTTTACTTATCGAGCTCGTTTTGAGCCTTGCTCGATAAGGAAATGGGACTCAGCTCGGCTCGGCTCTTGGCTCGATAATTTTTTTAATATTATTTATATTATTTAAATATAAATATTAAATAAAAAATATTATTTATATTATTAATATTATAAAATATATTTATATTATATATATATTTATATATTATTTAATATAATAATAAATATTTATATATAATTTAAAATAAAGATAAACAGCCAAGCTTATGCGAGCTCGAGCTCGGCTCGTTTACTAAAAAGCCTAATATTCGAGCTCGAGCTCGGCTCGAGTCAGACAGTTGTTTCATGAAAGTCGTTCATTTGCAGCCTTTGGTTGTAAAGTCTATTATTCTACAAATATAAACTTCTATGATTTTGTAAATCTTTCATCACACAATCAAAGAATGACAGGGTAAAATAGAATGCAACAATGGCGAGAGTGAAAAACAATAAAAGAATAGTGTAGGCCTTAGCGTGATATTTTTATTTATTTATTTATTTCAAAATATGTGTACTGAGAATTTTTGTTCCCAAAGATGCGTTCAAGACAATTTAATTTTAAAGATTTGTTGTGTATTGATGTCTATAGGGTCATTTTGTTTAATGGTAAAATTGTAATAAAAAATTAATTCATTAAGTGTGTGCACGAGAATAATAATGTGGTGAAATAAGAATTAGCCAAAATAAAATTGACAAAAAAAAAATTATAACTAGAAGTACTTTTCTCCCCTTATGAATAATTAATTACTTTTAACTTATTTAAATTATTTCTAATTAATAAACAAAATTCATATGACATTACTTCAAACTAAAATAAGATAATAAAGGCCTAAACGAAATTAGATTTTTAGTTAAAAAGTTAATATAGAGTGTTTTGAGAATATGGTTAAAGTTTTTTTTTTTTTTTTATTTTTTTGATTTTTTCACTGTTTTATATAAAAGGTGATGTGACCAAAAATGGGTTAAAAGTTAATTTTGGATTTTTTAGTGTGTTGCCAAAACACCTCTATAATTACCACATTACTCTTTTACTTTTTACACATTTTTGTAAAAAATAAAAAAATTAACTAAAAGAAAAGAAAATTTGTAAATACATAAAATTATATAAAAAAAAATTGACAAAAATAATGTGACAATAACGTTATTATAAATAAATCTATCTTTAATAATATTTTTATTTTGAAATGAAAAGTATACAATAAATCTGGTTTGGATACTCAAAAAAAAATCTAAAAAGCAAAAAGTTACTAAAAAAGTTAAAAAGTTATCACTATTCACCAAAAAATAGAAAAATTTAATTTTACACAAAATTATTACAACACAGTTGAACCATCCCATAGACTGTTACTGAGTTGCTGAAATGATTTGGAAAAATTGCACAGGCGGATGCACAAATAAACAATGTTGTTCGGCCAGTGGGGCCCATGAGGGTCCTGTTTGATAATCTGAACCGTTTAATATGTAGAACTCATCGATACTATACGTTTATAAAAAATCACGTTGATCGGATATCGTAACTACATGATTAAATCAGTTTTATATAAAAAAAAGATGGGTGTATAGTTAACGTTGAAAAAAAAAAAAAACTAATCCGATCAGATAGCTATCGATATCCGATCAACGTGATTTTTAACATACATAGTACTCGACGAGTCTAACATTAAACTGTTCAGATTATCAAAACGGGACCGTGATGGCCCCCACGACCAACAGTACCGTCCAATGCAATGCTCAAAAAGTAGGCAACCATTTCTTATCATCAATTCACCCCAGGGGTACATCTACTGCCTGCTATCCTTATCTTCTCCTATACACTAATTTATATAATTTTTTAATAATATTTTTTCGTAAAAAGTCAAAAGTTAACCAAACAACCATATGTTTTTCCTCAACTTTTTAATCCAAAAAGTCAAAAAATGCACTTACTTATAGACACCCAAAACAACCTATTATATATAAATTTTTTATTTATATAATATTATTTCAACTAAAATAGTTAATTTTCAAACCCAACCTACAACAAAGGTTAGGAATTGTTTGGATGATCTAAATAAGTACTTTTTAACTTTTTACGAAAAAACGTAAATATGGGTTCATTTAAATGATGTGGTAGAGAGATGACGTGATTTAAATAAGATATGTGTCTTAAATATGATAATAAATTTTTAACTTTTTTAGATTATGCCAAACTATCCTTATTTTGACAACTCAATTAAAAGCATTTTAATTGATCACAACACTTCTTTTATATTTTTTAACTTATTTCTCAAAATAAATCAAGAAAAATGGTTGAGAGTATTAAAAGTGGTGCTTTAGTAGCACTACTAATGATGTGGCCTATGTTCTTTTTTTCTTTTTTTTTGATATTTCCAATATATTATACTATTAGTAATATTTTTTTTTAATGGTATAATCATTGTTAATAAACCAAACAATATTTTGAAGGAGTAAAACCAGCCAGAAACTCTCTCTGCAACTGGCGAGATATTCAAGGTAATTTGTTTTTTTAGAAAAACACCATCAAAAAAAAAAAAAAAAACACCATCATAATTTTTTTTTTTTTTTTTTTTTTACGAAAACACCATCATAATTTTTGCTCTGTTGAGGGTTTGATAAGCATGAATGAGCCTGTATCCTCAAACTCTGCCTCACCCACGAAAACTCAAGAAGAGGAAGACCATCTGGTCAGAAGCACGAAGAAGATCAAGAGCAAAGATCACTTGGAGACTATGGACATAACTGAGAGTTCATGTATCCCTCCTACGTCGGTACCAGTGCTAGGCCCTAATGAGGTCTCGACTGAGGGCCATAAGGTTAAATCATTCAAGGAAGCTTTGGCAGCACCACGGAATGCTGACTTCTATTTTGATGACTCCATGGATTCAATAAGGAGAAAGAAGATGATGAATCGTTCATGTATCGTTCATGTATCCCTCTCTCTGCTGATGAGGAAGAAGATGAAGAAGATGCAACCATCCACGAAGAAAGCTTGCATCCGACCCAACAAGGCATTCCGCAAGTACACCTACCGAAGAAATTACTGGAACAGATTCGTAGACCCTCGGCCAATACACTGATTGTCAGACTATTGGGCAAGAACATCAGGTATAAGATGCTCTGCACAAGCGTTAAGAATCTCTAGGGCCTACAAGAGGAATTTAATGTTATAGATCTGGGCAATAACCATTTTCTGTTTAAATTCTCCTCTTTGGAGGATTGTGCACATGTCTATTCTGGAGGACAGTGGGTCATTATGGATCATTATCTCACTGTGAGGAAATCGGAGCCTGACTTTAAGGCATCAGAAGCCTTTGAAACCACCACTGCAGTATGGGTGCGGTTTTCGGAGCTTCCGATTGAATATTTTCAAGAGAAAGTCTTATATACCATTGCTAGACAGATTGGTACGCCCCTGAAAATCAATCTCACCACAGCCATGGCTATTAGAGGCCGGTTTGCAAGGGTGTGTGTTGAAGTTGATCTCCGAAAGCCACTCTGTCCTAGATTCCTCTTGGGCAAAAAAAACTATATCATTGAATACGAGTCCATACATTCATTTTGCTTCTACTGTGGAAGGGTAGATCACCGCAAGGAGCTATGCAAGTACCAGGTAGTGCACCCCAAGTCTCAAACTGTCCACCGGAATAATCCTCTGCCGGAAAGATTGCAACTAACCATTGAGGGCAACCTAGTTCAAACGCCAACGGCTAGCCCCAATGCCAACGGTCATCTGCAACAACTAGCAGTAGAAGGAGATGACACATATGGGCCCTGGATGATGGTAACTAAGCGAACTCATAAGCTTGTGATCAATAAGAAAACCCAGTCCACTAGACCAAGCCCAACTCATAATAAGTTCTCAGAATTGAGCAAAGGGACCCAACAAGAAGAGGAAATGGGTAGGGGCAAGAAAACAACTAGATTGGGCCTTGAAAAAGAGGCATCTAGCCCATATCAGAAAACCCAATCTGGACCATCTGTCTCACAAACTGTGACTCTGGCCAAGGTCTCTTAGACCGACCCACCAGCTACCATCACCCCATCTACCAAGAACTCCTCCGTTGTCCCCAGATCTGTAGAAAAGGTTCCTTTACTTCAGGCATCCAATAGTAACCAGTCTAGCCACTCTATGCCTGACAACCCCAGTATGTTGGAAACTGATTCTACATCCCTAGAAATCCCGATGGCTGATCTACCATCTGAAACACCTTTAATACTTACACCCAATCTACCTACTTCTGAACCTTTACCATTAGGGAGTGATGGATCCACAACCACAAAGCACAGGAAACCCCCTGATCCGGGAATCAAATATGGCGATGGAGGAGGGCACAGGTCTGGAGGTGCTTACCCACCGGATGGAGAATCATCCATTTATTATGTCGTTAGAGTAAGGGAAAGAAGCAACTTACCTCGTCACTATGGTATGGTGGATAGAGCAGATACGGATGCGAATAGAACCAAGCTGGAGCAGCAGAGCCGAGTCTCCAATCCACTCTGTGCAGATGGCCTCCACGAGATCAAGGGATCAAGATCATAGACGAATCAGGTGCATCCTTCTTGGTTTGGACACTGACCCCCTCCCTAAATATCCTACCTTTAATTCACTCAACATTCTTGTTTGGAACTGTCGTGGGGTAGGCAATAGTGCCTTTAAGCGCAACATGCGTGAACTTATCAGCACCTATAAACCGGAGGTACTCATCCTTATGGAAACCAAAGTCCCATTCAGTTCAATGGGGAACTTCTTCAACAACATGGGGTTTACTACTGCAACAATAGTTGACCCAATAGGAAGAGCAAGCGGCATCTGGCTACTCTGGGACACTGCCCATGTCAGCATAAGAGCTTCAAATGCTACAAACCAAGTTATTCAGGCCATTATTCACAAGGAAGACTATGAGGAATGGATTATTTCTGCAGTTTATGCAAGCCCACACCCATCCCAAAGAGATGAACTGTGGAACAATCTTGAGGAGACAGCTGGGAGCATGGAGAAACCCTGGCTAGTCACGAGCGATTTTAATGACTACATTAACCATAATGAGAGGAGAAGCTTTTCTCCTCACTATAATCACAACCGATTTGTAAAAGTCCACTTGATCAACTGGAACCAAGTTTGTAAAAGTAAAAGGCATGGTGGGCTGGGCATTAGGAAAACCAGGGCCCAGAATTCTGCCTTCATTTCCAAACTTGGCTGGAAAATTACTAGCCAGGCTGATAATCTCTGGTGCACTATTCTCAAATCTAAATACCTTAGTCATCACTCCATATTTAATTGGCCTAACAGGAGAAAAGCTTCCCACACTTGGAAGAGCATAATTAATAATAGAGAGGTGTTATAGGCTAACATTAAATGGAATGTGGGCAATGGTGAGAATTTTTCACTCTGGTCAGATTGGTGGTGTGGCTCAGCACCACTGCGCAGTAATCACCAGGGCCCTCATATTGAGTGCACTACAACTGTTAGCTCCATCTTAGATGAGAAAGGCCAATGGAATCTGGCCTCCATTCAAAACCTGATTTCCCAAGAAGAAAAAGAGAGCATTCTATAAATTTTCAGGCCCAGGTATGTAACTTTCATGGACACTCCTACTTGGTAAGGTACCTCTAATGTCAACTTCACTACCTCTGCTGCCTATAATTCTATTACCCAGCAGGATGAGAATGACTTGGACTGGCAATGGGTTTGGAAAATCAAGGCCCCACAGAGACTGAGAAGCTTTCCTTGGCTGTCCATGCATGGAAGGTTGCTCACCAACCAGATGAGATTCAAGAGAAAGCTCACAGATTCAGACATCTGCTCTAGGTGCCAAATTGCTATGGAGGACATGAGCCACCTTCTCAGAGGCTGCCCCAAAGCTAAATTAATCTGGGTCAGGTTGTAAAGCCTTCATTTGTGGCAAGCAGGTGACAGCGTCCCTCTTCCTGACTGGATCAGATCAAATATGGAAAGTAAGCAAAAGGTGGAGGATATTCAATGGGCAACTGTCTTCTTGTCTACCCTTTGGAACATATGGAAAGATAGGAACAGAGAGGTGTTTGAAGCTTAATACCAACCTGCTACCGTCAACACAGACAGAATTATCCAGCAGGCTCAAGAAATTCAAGATTCTCTCTTAAATCCAACTCACACAAACTACTTAATACAACGTCTAACTATTTGGTTTGTACCTCTTGCAGGGTCACTGAAATTCAACACTGATGGAAGCTCAAGAGGAGACCCAAGCCAATCTGGATATGGTGGTCTACTGCGGAATGAAGTGGGAACTTGGCTGTGGGGCTACCATGGCTACCTAGGGAGTTGCACGAGTTTGGAAGTTGAACTTTGGGGTCTCTACCGGGGACTTACCATCATTATGCAGAAAGGAATGGCAAATATTGAGATTGAAATAGATTCTCAAGATACAAGGCAACTGATTACAGATGGTGCTGCCAGCTCTTGTCCATACAGAGCTTTGATTGAGGATGCCAACTTTCTCCTGAGAAGATGCAAATGCAGAATTTCATACATCCCAAGAGAAGCCAACAAATGCGCTGATGCTCTTGCCAATATAGGAGTCAGCCAAACTGAGCATTTTGTTTTCTTAGATGAGCCACCCAATGTTCTACATTCTGCACTAGTTGCAGACATAGTGGCTGCTAGCTCTAGGAGGGACTGAGTCCCCTTTGATGTTATGTCTGTATTAAACTCTATTTGTTTAACTTTCATTTGAATAATAAAAAAAAAAAACACCATCATAAAAATAAGATTAAATTACACAAATTCGAGCAAATTCATTATAATTTTTGCAATAACAGTTATAAAGAGGTGGTTTGGGATGATATAAATAAATATATTTTTTTATTTTTTGTGAAATATGGGTGGGTATGGGTTGGGTATGGGTTGTGCTTGAAATGATGTGATAAAAATGTGATGTGACTTAAATAGATAGTGATTTTTTAACTTTTTGACTTTTTTAGAGTATCCCAAACAAGGCCTTACAAGTATAGAATTCTAAATAAAATTTTATGCAATTGACAGTGACAAAAAAAATAAATAAATAAATAAAAAATAAATCATAGTTGAAAAAAAACAAATTAAAACTCTTTTAAAAAATTCGAGCAAATTCATTATAATTTTTGCAATAACAGTTATAAAGCGGTGGTTTGGGATGATCTAAATAAATGTATTTTTTTATTTTTTTGTGAAATATGGGTGGGTATGGGTTGGGTATGGGTTGGGTATGGGTTGTGTTTGAAATGATGTGATAAAAAGGTAATGAGACTTAAATAAGATGATGTGACTTAAATAGGATAATGATTTTTTAACTTTTTGACTTTTTTAAAGTGTCCCAAACAAGGCCTTACAAGTATAGAATTCTAAATAAAATTTTATGCAATTGACAGTGACAAAAAAAATAAATAAATAAATAAAAAATAAATCATAGTTGAAAAAAAACAAATTAAAACTCTTTTAAAATTCTAAAACATTTTTTTTTTCGCAATATATATATTTTTTAAAATTTTTGAAGCTAAAAAAACAAACTGCCAACAAACCCATATCTCCACTCCCTGTTTTTTTATCTCCACTTCATCTCTCAGAACAAAACTGAAAGCCCCATCTCAACAACTACACTGTTAAGAGAGAAGAACATGGCAGAGCTCAATAGAGCTTCCAAAAACAGAGGATTCTATGTAAGAATGAGACAATTACACCCCACCACCAAGCATCATGGAAGACAAACAGAGAAGAAGACCCATTGCTACAGATATCTCAAATGGGTCCTCTGGTTTTCTCTCTCCTCCTCCTACTTCCTCACCTCCTCCCTCATTACCCACCAATCCGCCACCACCTCTCTCTCTAAAACCACCTTACCCTCTCGTGCCCTGTTCGAGTCCCTCAACAAAACCCATCTCCAAAAACTCAATACCCATCCAGCTCTGGGTTTATTCAACGATTTGAAAGTCTATATATACGATTTGCCATCGAAATACAACACTGATTGGCTTTCCAATGAGAGGTGTAGCAACCACCTCTTCGCTTCCGAGGTAGCTATACACAGAGCTCTGTTGAATAGCGACGTTCGGACGCCCGACCCGAATGAGGCTGACTTCTTCTTCGTCCCAATCTACGTCTCCTGCAACTTTAGCTCCGTCAATGGCTTCCCGGCGATCGGTCACGCACGGTCTCTGATTGAATCAGCGTTCAGGATCATCTCATCGGAGCTTCCATTTTGGAACCGGAGCCGGGGCTCCGACCACGTCTTCGTCGCTTCTCACGATTTCGGAGCTTGTTTTCACACAATGGTGAGAAATACAGAAGCTAAAATGTGTTTTGGTTGTTTTTTGGAAGTGTTTTTGAAAATTTGATGGTCTGTTTTGGGAAGGAGGAGGTAGCGATTGAAGATGGAATACCGGAGGTACTGAAGAGGTCGATTATATTGCAGACATTCGGTGTTAAGCATGGACACCCGTGTCAAGAAGTTGAGAATGTGGTGATTCCACCGTATGTGTCACCGGAAAGTGTACGGTTCACCATTGCAAAAGCTCCGGCGAAAGGACGGCGAGACATTTTTGTTTTCTTCAGGGGCAAAATGGAGGTTCACCCTAAGAACATCAGCGGTCGTTTTTACAGCAGGTAATTACTTCAATTATTTATTTATTTATTTAGGGACTCCTTATTCTCTCGATTTTGCTCTAATACATCCTCTTTTGGTTTTGTTTGACATGTGTTAAAATAATACAATTCAGTATGTTTAGTTTGAGTTTTTTAAATTAAGTTTTTTTTAAATTTAATTTTTTGATTTTCGTATTTTTTTATTTTTAGTGAATATTTTTAAAATTTTAAACGTTTTTTTTACTTTTTTAGATTCACCTTACTTATATGTATCTAAAAAATAAAAAGTTTGTAAAAAAATATTTTAAAAAATTAATAAATACATAAAAAAATAAAATATGTACGGAATTCTTGTATTTTTTTTTTATATTTTTGGTGTTTAGTGAATTTTTTAAAAAAAAATTCACAATTTTTTTACTTTTTAGATATATTTATGTTAGGTATGTCTAAAAAGTAAAAAAGATTGCATAAAATATTAAAAAAATTCAGTAAAAACAAAAAAATATAGAAAACAAGAAAGTATAATTTTCTGAAGAGAATTTTTGAAAAACTCTAACCAAGCATGCTAATTATATTTTATTATATTATTCTATTTAAGCTACAATTAGATGACTTCTTTACCATATTATTTTAAATCTAATCTATATTTCATATTTTTTTTCCCTTAAAAAGTCACTTTAAATAGTCTATATTTTACCTTTTATCATAAAAAGTTAAAAAATATATTAATATAACAATTTTCAAATAAAATAAACTCACTTCAATGCATAATAAGATGAATATATATACACATTTAAAACAAAATAAAAAGAGAATAGCGGCTTCTTTATTTATTTTTGGATTAACCTTTAATATTTGTTGTAAGAGGGGCTAATTTGAGCCCACTAAATTATTTAGGCTCAATAGCCCAAGATTAGTGGGCCTGAATTTATCGCAAGTCCAAGATTGGTGGGCTTGGATTTATCGCCGTCAAACGGGCTGAATGGCTCTAAGCCTCGAAAGGGTTCGGATCCACGAACCTAGAGACTTACTCGGGCCCGGACTCGAAAGGGTATTAAGCAAACTTAGAGATCCGAGGCACTCGGACTCGAAAGGGTTCAGATCCACGAACCTAGAGGTCCGAAACACTTGGCTTCGAACGGATTCAAACGCAATCTAGAAGTCGCTCCGTTAATGAGTCCCAGAACACTTGCGGGCTCGGAGCTTTCCGGGATCTTCGCACCAGAACCATGGGCGTAATGGAGTTCGAACAAAGGACCCGATCTCGAGGACGGTGAGTGGAGACAAATTCACTCTTCGGTTAAACTAGCCTATACCCGGGTCGAGGTGGCACGACCCCGGGGGGTCCATGAGACTCGGCAATATTTCGCGGCAGGACGTCCTCTGAGACTACCCCTGACCCTTTGGGATGATTGGGGATCATTGGTTAGGTGTGGCTAAGAAGAAGGGTTCGCCGAGGGATTGATCTCCTCTTCGGGGTTTTCTCATCCTCGGAGAAGTCACCTCCTCGGAGAGGTCACCTCCTCGAACAAGGTGGTTAGAGAGAATATCCCCCATGTGCCTTGCATATGGGCTCCATCCTACATCATGAGGTGCCTATAAATAGCACCCATCCATAGCTTTACAAGGGATGAATTTTTGGGGAGATGACTCTTGGGAAAGAACTAATTTCCCATCTCCATTATCAACCTTGAGAGTGAAAGTGGGAGATCCATGGGAGTGCCTTGCCATTATTCTCTCTCTAGCCATTTTGCCTTTTTCTTTACCTAATCTCTTATCTCCATCATCTCCTTTCTTTTGTGTTTCTTGAGTTGAGACCATTGAAGAATCTAAGCCTCTCATCATCTTCTAGAGAATTCGAAGTTGTTCTTCAAGGATCTTCGAAGATCTTCGAATTTTCCAACTCTTTTCTTGAACTCTCTCCTACATTTTGGCGACTCCACTGGGGAGGCGGATTGGTTAATGGTCTCAACGAGATCTGGAATCCACACAACTCCAACAAGGATGGCGGGAGAAGATGAAGTTCACCAACAAGGATCCTCTGATGGTGGTGATGACAGAACCACGGCTCCAGATCAACCACTTTTGCTTGAAGCCATTCAAGGACTTCAAAATATTCAGCAAGTGATTCTTACCACTCTTCAGAATCTCACTCACACCATGTTGGTGATGAGTTCTAACTTTGCACCAGCGCCAAACGGAAATCAAACTGGTAGTGGAGTTATTCTTGCCGGAGCGCAAAATCAAATCCAAGGAGAAGTAGGCCCCAATCAGCCTATGGCTCATGGCAACACGACCACAGTAACACATGCTCAAACCACAGTAGGCGACAGTAGTTTGCCCATGCCCGGGCTCCATGGCGTGCCAAGCCAAGATCCAATGGTGACTAGGGGAGTTTCTGGTGCAATGAATGGCGCTCCGCCGACTGTTGGTGTCCAGGAAAACATAAGGAGCATGATGGCGCAAAAGGGAGCTCTGCCCGAACCTAATCTTGTTACGCCATCAATAAATGTTACCCAAACACCAAGCGGGCCTCCTTTGGTGCCGACAACAAATCTGCAAGCACAACCCGGTATAGCGGCGCCGTGCGGTGGACTCTATGGGCCTCAATTCAATATCCCATCACCAACTGGCTTGTCTATAGGCGCTGATGGCCAGTATCGTCAAATGTCCTCACCAATGATGAATTCGCAGCACCAGAATGGCCAAGACGCCCCTAGCTCAATCTTCGGGTACATAAGCCAAGTCCCGGGAATACCACCATCAAACTCTCTCCCTCAACAGTTTCTCACTCTTGCCGATGTGCAGGCCATGTTCGATCTCGAACGGGGCAAGAGGACCTTACCCTCTTTGCCTGATCCAGACGTCAAGCCGCCTTACCCCATTGAGATACTGAGCTATGCATACCCTGAGGGGTATACAGTGCCGAAGTTCATCAAGTTCGACGGCAAACAAGGAAATGCCCGAGAACATGTTGTGCGATTCATCGAGACTCTAGGTATTCATGGTTCAAACCACGTCCTCCGACTGAGAGAATTCTCTAAGTCCCTCACCGACCGAGCATATAGTTGGTATGTTAATTTGGCCCCAAACTCTGTCCGAAGTTGGGAGGAAATGGTTAACAAATTCCACTCCAAGTTCTTTCAAGTGGCGGAGAAGGTGACCACACTTACATTGTGTAAAGAGAAGCAACAAGAAAGTAAAGACATCCTCGACTACGTCAAAAGGTTTCAGGACAAGGCTGTAGATTGTCATGAAGCAGTTGAGGAGAGTTATCTGGTTCAAATCTGCCTAGAAGGGGCATTGAGCAGGTACAAAATGTTTCTAGTTAATCACAAGCTACCCACCTTCTCGGCATTAATAGAAGCAGCTCGGAACATTAGCATTCCTCAGGCTCAGGAGTCCGGATTTAAGGCCAGTTACAAGGCTAGTTTCAAATCGTCTCGTGGACCTATTATTGCTGCTGCCTCTACCCCAGATACCCGAAATTCACAAGGAGGAGGTCATAGAGGCCAGAAAGAGAAAGCAATATAATGGTGAAAAAGGAAATGTTTCTTATCCATGTGGAATCGAGGAAGTGAAAGCTCTAGTTAAGGAATGGGTCGCTGACGGAGAGCTAAAATTGCCTTATGTTGAAGAAATGCCATCAAAAAAGAACCGTGAGAGCCCTGAATTTTGTGTCTACCATCGTACATTGAAACATCCGACAGAGAAGTGTTGGGCTCTCAGAAAAATCTTCAGAGATGAAGTCGAGGCAGACGAATTAAGGTTCAAAAAGCAAGGGATTCAAGACATCCGAGAACAACCATATCCTCAACACCGAGACAAGGGCAAGAATGTTGCTATGATAGCTTATGAAGGCCTGATGATCGAGGCTATCGCCAATCTTGATGACGATGATTGTTATCTTAACGACATCCTCGAGCCAGAGGGCGAGCAGGTTTACTATGGAATTGCTCTCGATCCAGAGGGCAGAACATTTATGACTCATGGCGAAGATCCCTTTGATCCAGAAGGAGGAGAAGAATACTATGGAAGAGGAGGACACCATGTTTATGTGGCATCTTATTTTGAAGAGACCGAGGAGATGGTTAACTACGAGCCTCCAAGAGCGGAAAAAGATCCGGATCACTATGCCAAAACCTTACAAGACTGTGTAAAGTTCAAGCAGTTCTTTGACCAGCTTGGACTTTCTAGGGAGGCAAGAACAGAAATCACCAAGTCTATCATTAATATAGCCGAGGCACACCATGAGGAATGCATGTCGACTGAGGGATCTATCCCGAGGAAGGCAAAAGAGCAATCTAGTGCCATTACTTTCTCCGAGGCTGATCGGAAGTATCCTTTTTTTCACAACCGCCCGCTTTATGTGATTGCTTTTATTAACGGGGTTGAGTTCAAAAGGGCCTTTCTAGATAGTAGAGCCTCTATCAACATTATGACTCGCGCTACTCTAGAAAAGGCCGGAATCTCTGAAGAACGCATTGTGAAGCAGCCGATAGTCATCACTGGCTTCGGTGGAGAAAGGAGAGTTACTATCGGATGCGTAACAGTTGATTTAGCTGTTGGAGAGATTCGCTCGGCCACCAAGTTCCATATTATCGATTCTGGGGCAAATTATCACATCATTCTAGGGAGGACCTGGATGCATAGATATGGGGCTGTACCATCGAGTTATCATCAGTGTGTTAAGGCTAAATGGGGAAAGAAGACGGTGACAATTCAGGCTACAGAAAGGCCTTTCGAGATCCATGAAGCTCATTATTCTGATGCCATCTACTTCACCGAACTGGCTGTCGAAGAAGTTCCCACCACCTCTAAGCCTCGAGGGGTCAAAATTCCTCGTTGGGAGGATATCAAAGATGACAAGGAGTCGATGGCAGAATCAAGTAAGCGGGCGATGTCTAGACCAGAAAGTCCGCCTATTCCTCGGAAGGTGATGAAAGTTCGAGAAGGAGGCAAGATGGTGTACTATTTATGAAGGTGTGGGGAGTCGGTTTCTTCAGTCACCGACTCCGAGTCAAAAGAAGAGCCTCCTGACAATGATATAGTAATAAAGCCCGAAGTGGCTCCAGAATGTATGCAAGAT